CTGCATGCATGCCCCTCCCCAAGTCCACTGATAGGGGAGGTTCTCCTCTCCTTTCTAATCTTAGTCTATCAGATCTTGTCAAAAGTGGCTGCATTGTCCTCTTCTGTGGCCTGGTAAGGCTGCTCCCCCCTCAGGGGGAGGTGATCAAAGAGCAGGCCAATCAGATTATGTCAGAGGCAGTCCCTCTTCCCATTACTAGGTAACCCATTTGGACACTGATCTGCCATGGGCTACATCTGTGCAGGGGTTCTAGGTTATCTCCGTGAATAGTCCTTGGTTGGAGTATGAGTCTCTGGGAAGTTCCCTGTGTTCAAATTTTCTTGTTCTGTTGCTCTCCTTGTGGAGTTCCTGTCCTCTCCAGCTCTTACTATTTCCCACTTCTTACATAAAATTCCATTCACTCTTTTTTAAGTGGATATGATTTATTTTTGTTTACAAAATACACCCTTAAATTTTTGGCTTGACTTTCTAACAATCTCATGAGGGGCTTATTTCTAAGAAAGAAAAAGCAAAAAGCAAGAACAATTTCATTCTGTTTTATTTTTACAAATTCAGCATGAAATATGCAGAGATGCTATAGTTAATTAAGTCAGAATCAGGAGAGATAGGTATATAATGAGCTACAGTTAAGCCTCTTCATGAATGAAAGAGTGTGGTTCTTATTAGCAAGATGTAAGAGGAAATCATAGCTTTCTGAAAAGTACCTGCTATTATATACAATTTAAGGAAAATCCTTATGTCTCTTAAAAGTTAAGTGAAAATGTGCTTCATCTTGTGTGTGTTTAGATTGCTTAAATCATGGAGCATTATTTTTTCAACAAACAGAATCTCTTCTTTAGAAGGTCAGGAGTAGTGGCCCACTCCAGAATTTGAAAGCAGGGTCATCTTTGAATGTTTGAGGCCAGCCTGGGCTACATAGTGAGCTCCTGGCCAGCCAAAACTATGTGAAAAAAAACCAAAACATGTCTTTAAATCAATCAATCAGTCATCAGGGGCAGAAGAGGTGGCTCAGTGCCTAAGGACACTTGTTGCTCTTGCAGAGGATTTGGGATGGGTTCCCAACACACGCATGGTGGCGTAAATGCTCTAGTAACATTGGTAACTCTAGGGGATCTGACACCTTCTGACATCTGTAGGTACCGGGCAGTACCTACATACATGGCGGCCAAAACATTCACATATGTAAATAGACATATTTTTAAAAATGCAAACCAAAAAATAACATATAAAAATCTTCTCTCTATATCGTTGTGCTGAGAATTGTGAAATATTTATTTAAAATGCTTTTTAGACCTGTAGTTTGTTTATGGTGTCCTTTCCAAAAAAAAAAAAAAATCTATAAAAGATTCATGGAAATATTTCTGAAATGCTATTTGCATACATGGTAATGATCAGGCTGGAAGACCAGTTCTTGGCAGCCTCTGTCTGTTCATTGCAATTACATAATAACAATGGTAAAACAATTAACAGGCTGTAGGGCTGTGATGTATACAGAGTGTTACATTATAAACACATCATAAAAATGTTGCCATGGAGCTGTGTGGTTTTTTTTTTTTTCTTTTTTTGAGTCTGGGTTCTCCATGAATTTGAATAATTCAGAGCAGAGGTGGAAATGTAGATAAATTCAGCATTATCTTTGAGTACCATGGAAAGGAAATCGGATACAGATGAGCTTCCTCAATGATTACTTACACTAAAGAGCATGATGACACCCTACAATGTCCTTGCCTTCTGCTCTTGTTTAATTATGGAGGCAGAGGAAAGTTTTTCTTTTCCTAGAAAACCAGGTTTCGGTAAATTAGCCACCTGGTGACTTTTACTCTGTAACAGATATTGTTACATTAGTAATTAAAGTGGATTGACCCTGAGCATGAAGCAGGGAGGATCTGGTGCAGGAGGGCCCTGAAGGATAGCCAGGGGAGAGCTGATGACTTATTGCCATCATAAGAATTTCTTGGGATTCCCTTGAATGAAAAGATGGGTGGGGCTTACCCCTGAGATGATAGTGGTGACCAATATTTTTTGTTCATGCATTCGAGTGTTCCAGTGTGTTGTCATCTGTTCCCCTGCTCCGTGTGTGTGTGTGTGTGTGTAACACCGTTAGGGAACTGTGGGAATTTGGCTTCTACCATGATGAGTGAGGTTCAGAGTCATTGGTGGAAGCAATGAGAAACATAGGTGATGATTCAGCTGTAGGAGATGAAGGGCTTCCTACTCAAGAACAGATGGGAAGCCTGGTGGAAGTGGTCCAGCGTTTGAACTGTCTGTTAGACATGTGCAATCCAGGACCTATGGGCCATGTGTAGCCTAGGGTAGCTACATTAGTTACTTGACACAAAATCACAACTTAAAATCTGAGACTTGATGGGTTTTATGTATTATTATTTTACATGTTATGATTCTTCTTCTTTTGTAACTTGATTGGGCAGTTCTTGAGTGTGAACTCTATAGATGGTAGGACCATGAAACAGTGTCAAAAGGCTGGACATGCCTGATGGATGGAAGATGACAGTGGCCTGGAAGGTGGAAGAATGGAGGAAGTAAAGAACGTGTCTGACTTCTAAAGGGAGAATAAAGAGTTGTTGATGGGTGTGCTTGGTACGGAAGGAAAGGTTTGGCATGGCCTTGCCAGTTAGGGTTGGACAACTGCAAGGATAGAATTTCAGTGATTGATCAAACACACACACACGCACATGGACACATGCACACATGCATGCATACACTCCCTCCCTCCCTCCCATGCACACACACATGCACAAACACACACATATTGATACAATAGCCCTGCTTAGCCTGGAACTCACTATATAGAACCAGGCTGGCCTTGAGATCTATTTGCCTCTGCCTCCCAAGTGCTAGGATTAAAAGTGTGTGCCACCACACCTGGCTACTTCAGATTCTCTTAAGAGCTCCGATGAGCTTGTGTCTTTGAAAAGTGGTCATGGAATGATGGCACGGCCAGTGCCTTGTGAGGGGGATTTCTAAGAAACCTCAATTGGCTGGGATCCAGGTAGAGGTTCGAAGGGTCTGAGCCATGACATTACCTTTGGTAATGACAGTTAATCTTGATAGTGACAACTGACATTGTCATGAAGGGAATAATTAGAAGTCTCTATAGTCAGAATGCAAAATGGAAACCATTGTAAACATATCATGAAGATACACTTTGTAAAATGTATCTGGATGAGTTTATACTGAATTAGGCTGTTTCCTTCTGTAACTATTAGGTCCAACTTTGAGCCTCTGAGCCCTGTGACCTTGTGGGAGGGCTCTTTGTTTTCCTGTTGTATGAATTATGCCTGTGTCAGGGTATTTATCGGAACAATCTAAGTTGTTCAATTTATTGGTACAAATTTATTTATAATAGTCTCTTGTTGTGCTTTTAATATTTTTATACTTTGCAGTGATGTCATTTGCCATTCCTGGGTTTGGTAATTTGTGTTGTCTTTCTCTTTTGGCTGTCTGTGTCCCCCTAAGTCTGCTTCAGTATCCCTGTACATTTTTTATTTTGCTACTATTTTATCTACAAATGTATTATAATGTTTAATTTTTTTAATCATTGGATTGGTTTAGTGAGTTTAAAGACATTTGGGGATAGTCCACAGATGCTTTTCTGTTCATTTAGAATGGAATTCTATTGTGGTTAGAACACACACTTCGGATAGATATGTTTCAGTGTATTGAGCCTTGTTTTAGGACTAGAATTTGCTCTAACTTGGTAAATGTCAATTAGCCCAGTGGGGTCCATAATCATGTGTTAATCATGTGTCCTGTATCATTATTAACTTTCAGTTTATGTGTTTTATTTGTTATTAAAGAGAAATATTTAAATTTCCAACTCTACTTATGGTCTGTCTCCCCCTCTCTTTGTGATCCTATCTGCTTTGGTTTGTGTATTTTGAAGGGCTTTGAAAAATATGATGAAGCACATTAATGTTCGAGATTATGATGTCTTGTCAGGGAACTAACCAACCATGGATTATAGAGGGGCTTTCTCCGTCCACGTTGATATGTTCTGCTCTGAGATTTCTTTCTCTGGTGTCAGTCTGACTGGCCCAGCTTTGCTGTGACTCACATTAGAGTGTGTCTTCCAATTTAACCAACATATTTGCAGGCAGCTCAAGGTTGACAACTTCTGGATCAGCCTCACAGTCTCTGCACTTCAATTGGGGGCTCTGGGACCACTCACACTGTGGTTACTGACATGGGTAGTTCTAAGCCTTCAACCTTTCTGTGTGTTCTCTCTGCTATTTCCTCTTCTTTCCTCCCCATTCCCTTCCCTCCTCTTCCCCTCCTCCTCTGCTTGCCCTTTTTTACTGCTGGAATATTTTTATGGCTCCGTTTTGTGTGTGTGTGTGTGTGTGTGTGTGTGTGTGTGTGTGTGTGTGGCTTATTAGACTTGACTCTTAATTTTGTGTATTAAAGGTTTCCTTAGGGCACGTTGACAGACCTGTCTGCCTGTTTGTATATTTCAAGTCAGGCATTTGTATGTAGAGACTGATCAGATGAAACACTGACTACCTCCTGTCTCAGCCAGTGGTTGCTGACAGCCAGAGACACCATGAAATATCCCTCAGTCTGTCCTGACGTTTATGCACGTTGGCTGTAGTCTTGGACTCTTTTTTCCTGACTGTCAGGGCTTTAGTAGATAGGGTCTTGGTCCTTGGGGCAGGACTTTCTAGTTGTTGTTGCTGTTTATTTTTTATGTTGAGAGAGAGTGCATCCCCCATGGAAGAACTGCACTATGACCTTGACTTACTGTGGTTGAATCCCCAAAAGTAACAGAGTCCTATTAAGAAGAACAGACACTTCATGGTCTAAGTTTACTTCTCCTGATCTACGCAAAGCCACCCCAAGGAAGGGGATTCAAGGCTAACGGATGTTCCCATTCTTGGAATGTCTTAGGTTTTTCCAGGGTTCTTGATTTTTTTTTTTTAATACCGAACTTCCTGGTTATGAAAGAAAAACTCATGCTCTCTTTTCCTTGTTTTCTTTTTCAGCAAGTCACTGGTCGAAGTTTTGGGGACAAAGACTTCCGGACAGGACTAGAAAATGGGATCCTTCTTTGCGAGTAAGTAATGCTTGTGTTCCCTTGGTTTTATTCTAGGATTGTACTATTCATTTTGTCTGTAAGATTTCCAGTACAGTATTTCTTTTCTGTTTCTTTTGTTTATTTACTTTTTTTTTTTGAGATAGGGTCTCACCATGGCTAGCCTAGCACTCATGGCTTAGGCTGGGATGCTCTTGTACACACAGAGATCTGCTTGTCTCTGCCTCCTAAATCTGGCCTCCCATATTTTATTTTTGACTGAGCCGCAGTTCAACTCTGGAGCTTCCAAGAAACCACTGGGATGGGCAGGGAACATGTGTAGAGAGTGAGTGTCCATATGCAAAGGGAACGGTGACACCATGATAACGGCAAGTTAGATGAAGAAACAGAACCCGCCAGGAGGACTCTGCTCCCAGTAATCTGAGCACGTAGGAATGTGTGTCTCAGTAGTTGCAAGGAAGTGGGTCTGATTGTGCTTCAAGTAATGGGATTTCTGTCCTTGGAAATCCCAACCCAAAGAGTCCTGTGACAAGTAAAGAGTGTTTCCACAGATTCGGTCTATCTTAAAAAGCAGGGCAGGCTGTGTGCCTGACTGGTTCTGCCGTGTACAGGAGCTGGGTGCCTTTAGCTTGTGTTGTTGGTAGAGTTCTGGAACGGATGGTGATGGCGGTGTCTATTGCGTTTTGGAGCAAGGCCTCAGTCATGGAGCAGTTCCCTGGCAGTAGAATTCGGAGTTTCCTAGAAAGTGGCTTTGGGCACAAAATAATCCAGACCATTCATATTTACCACTGTAGGTAGGGATAAACTTGAAAGCAAGACTTTGCAAATTTGAATGTATTTAATGGGCTGTATAATCTTGACACTGATTTCTACAAAAGACACTGCTCCTAAATGTAAAATCTGGAGCTTTGAGGGACGAAGACTAGCCAGCTCTACAGCCCCCATCAAGCTGTAGAACAGAAACCTCCCTCACGTTCTTTCTCAGCACGCTGGTGACTGCACTGCTCTCGTCTCCCCTTCACCAGCGCGTGCTTTAACCTCTTCTGAAACATTAGGTAGATGCAGCCACATATGGTGGACTCTCGTTTTGGCAGCTGATGAGGTTGAAAACTACAGATTTTAGAGCCTAAAAAAAAAAATGAAATGTTCGAGTCTCTCTTTTTATTTTCTTTGAATCATTCCTCCTTTCCCCCTCCAGTCTCATTTTCTCTAAATGGCGAGCCATATTCTCCGCTCCACTGCGTAGGCGCTTGAAGGGACTTACTTTGTGGCCAAGGCTCTTTAAAGGACTGTGCGGCACTTTACAAACACATACGGCTTATTTCGTAGTCTCCCTTTCTACGTAGTTCATGTCAGCATTTTCTTTTGGCCTTCCACTGCCCACTGTTCAAAGGAAGATTGGGGAGCCCAGGTCGCTATTTCTGTTCCCTTATTTTCCTGGGAGCTCCTCTTCTGAGACCGTCCTTCCCTCCATTTGTTATATCTAAACCAGAGCTCGTCTGTGGGTGAGCTGTAGTTAGTTGAGCACATCCCTGAGCTGAGCTTAGCCGACAACCTCCAAGCCTCCCTTCTAGGAGAGCACTGGCAGCGATGCTGGGTTTGCAGCCTTCTTCTTGGTCAACAGCTTTCTGAGAGCTGGTCAAGGTGCAGTGTGCTTTTGTTAAAGTGGGTCTGTGTTGCTTAGGTTTTTTTTTTTTTTCTTGTTGACTTAACAAAATGCTAAAGTCATTTGAGCAGAGAGAACCTCAACCAAGAAAATGCCCCCATCAGATTTGGCCTGTCGGCAAACCTATGGGGCATTTTCTTGATCTATGATTGATGTGGAAGTGCCCAGATCTCCAGGTGTGTTATCACCCTTGGGCAGGGGGTCCTGGGCACTGTAAGAAAATATGCCAAACAACCCATGGACAGCAAGCCAGAAGACAGCACTTATATATACACACACACACAAACATATAGTTTCTGCTTTAGTTCCTACCTCTGGGTTCCTACCTTAAGTTCCTGCCCTGACTTCCCTTAATCATGGAATAGTGATGGAACTGTTAGATAAAATAAATCCTTTCCTCCTCTAAATTGCTTCTGCTTGTCATGTTTATCACAGCAATGGGAACTTAACTAGGTCGGGGTCTTTGGTACCAATTTTTGTCCATTGACAATTTACTCCAGAGAATCCTGCAGGCATCCACCTTTGCAGTGTATTGTCAGGAACGGCTTGGTCAGGCAGATATACTACATGAGTGGGTTCAGAGTGGGCTTCTCTGAAGACAAGCTCAGGATTTAGGGCCATTTACACCTAGAATCCTCTTCTAAATGAGAAGATGGAGTCTCTGAGTACATGCAGAAGTGCTGTCTCTGGGGCTTTTGCAAATGCTGTAATGAGTGACAGAGTGCTAAGGAGAGTCTTAGATTCAGGCCATGGGTAGGAAATACATGACCAAAACAACACAGGGTACCATGCAGGGGCTTCTTTAAATGAAGAAAGAGCAAAGGACTGCTGATAGGCTGAAACAGGGAAATAGACAATGTGGTAACTGTTGCTGTCTGGGCAAAGGGACAAGGTCAAGATGGATGAGTAATGGTCTGAGTCTTCCAATCACGGAAACCCAGACCACTGGTGTGGGTGAAGAAATAAGTGCTTTAGAGGCTAAAGACCAGAGATTGAGCCTGGCTTCCCTAGTGAGGGTCCAACTGGCAGCCCAGAGGAGTATGCCACGTGTGGAATGAATGCTTGGTGACCTGAAAGCAAGGCTCCCCTGGAACACGTTTCTCCATCACAGCCTCAAGGGGGAAAAGCTGAGTCAGGAGCCAGAGAAACAAGACATGAAAAGTTTCCAAGTTCAAGACCTACAGATCCGTAGGAACATCAGTGTCAAAACACAATTCTCACCTAAGAGGAGATGAGAAATAGTTTATTCTGGAGCCAAATCTGAGTGATCATGGCCCAGGAAATGCAAGTTTAGGTTAAGCCAAAGTCCATGTCCAAATGTGGGAACCGTTTGATGAAGTTTTTATAGAAACAGAACAAAGAAAATCAAGGCATCTTTCAAATGCATTGCTTTTCTGTTAACTGTGGTAAAACACCGCGACGAAGACGGTTTACAGAAGAAAGAGTTTATTTGGGTTTATGGTTCCATTGGGTAAGAGTAGATGTTGGTGTAGAAGCTGCACGCATGGAAGTTGGAATAGAAAGCTGAGAGCTCTCATCGTGAACTGTGAGCACAAAACAGGGAGTGAACTGGAAACATAAGTATGAGTCTTTTTAAACTCTCAAAGCCCACCTTTAGTGACGCTAATCCTACCAAGGCCACACTCCTGAATCCTCCCCCAAACAGTGCCACCAGCTAGGGGCCAACTATTCAAATGCATGAGCCTATGGAGGCTGTTTTTATCTAAACCATAGTGGGCAAAGGCAAAGTGGGAGAAAACGCTGGCATAGGCCCCAGATGCTCTCTGACAGCATTCTTAGTCCTTTCATTGGTTGGAAACTAGGGGTAGAAGCATCAGGAGTCTGATGCTTCTGTTGAGACAACAGAGAGAAAAGATGGGTATCTATAAGCAGCAAGTAAAATGAGAATCTGCAAGTAGCGTCAAAATCCCCTTCCTCAGGGCTCTCTATCGTATAGGTTGGAATAACCAAAGCATTGCTTTTGTGTTTTTCTCTCAGTAGCTCACCGTCTGCTGTTGTTTTTGATAAAAGTGTGTAATGCAAGTTAAATGCTCAAGTGATGCGAGCACTTTGCTGAGAGTTTCCTAAGAGGTCTGGGGTCAAAGTGTGACAAAGCCGCAAGTATCGGATAGTGGGACATGTCATACTAACAGAAATACGAACCCGATACTGCATTTTTTCTTGAGGATGTGAGGACCTGCTCGTGGGATGGAATGGTGATTACAGCTGCCCAGACTGCCTCAAAATAACTCCAGTGGGGGAAGTTTCTGCCATTCCGTTCTACCACGACTTTATCACTTAGACAGACCTCTAAGGGTTTTCGTGTAGCTACGAGATTGGCAAATTATGGCCTTGTGCTTAAATTTGTACTCACCACCTTGTTCAAAATAGTTTGTATGTATTTAAATGTATTTTCAGAGAAACTTGATGGTCCCCAAAAGGGCTATGGGATTGATTTTAGTTTCTTTTAAGTTTGTCTTTCAAATTATTTTGAATAATTTTTAAATATATAGGAAAGCTATAATAATATATAGGTACTTGTATATTTTGTACCCAGGCATACTGATTATTGTCATTTTGCTATCTTTGTATCATTTCTTCGTATACACGCCTCTTTTTTGCAGTAACCATTTGAAAGTCAAGTGTAGATATCATGAAACTCGGCTCCTAAATCCTTGTGTGTGTATCATCTAAATGCAAGGGCATTCTCCTGTAAGACACTTAGACATACCCGAAGTTGTGTGAGAAAGCACACTAAAACGCTCAGTATAGCCTGCTGCTCCCTTGGCACTCTACCGTTAGCTGTTCCTATTATTGTCAGTGGAACTAGGCCAAAAGCCAATTATGATGATGACATGGTCAACGCCCCTCTGTGTCACCATACTCCCGTCTGCTCTCTCCCAGGGGCTGCCAGCTATCAGCAGGGTGAAGGAATTTGCATTTTTACTTTCTAGCTTCTCTTGTCTAGTTTGTGAGCAAAAACTGGGCAGGACATATTGAGTCCCTTACAAGCTCGATCATCTGTGAATAATGAACTTTGGCTGACAGAGCTTGGGAACTAGAATGCTTATTTTGCAAACAATAACCTTGACCACTGTACTGATGTCATTTCCTCCTGCTTCTCCAGTTTGCTGTTGTTTCTTCCTCTAGCAGTCTGCTTAGAACTCTCCAGGCAGAACCACTGGTTTTCTCTGTGGCTTCTAAGTACTGTTTTTAACCTTACTCAAATAGTATCACAGAGCTTCACCTCTGCTGTATATCAAAACCTGTTGCTTACAATAGAGACCCAGCTTCTTGAAAATGATTTGATATATATCCTTGTATTTCCTGCACTGGGTACTGGCTTGGTGTGTGA